GGCTGGGGGCCGAGCGCACACGCTTGTCCTCGCTCCTCCGGCATGGGGGATGACTTACGCCTCCTGACGCCAGCCTGCGGGCTGGCGTCTTCGGGCCGGGTTCCCTTCCTGTCATGCCTGCCTCGCCCAAGTGGGAGGCGCCGTCACACACACACACACACACACACACACACCAACGGCACCGAGGGCCCAGGTCGATGCAGGTCATAACACAGGGGGCTGGGCGGGCGGGACGCGCCCCTCCTGCCTGGGCCTTGTGCGGCAGGCCGGCGAAGGTCTGGGCCGTGCTGTTGTGAGGAGGCACCCTCCCCCCGCCCGCCCGGGGGCAAGGAATAACAGACCGCCACCGTGGCCAGCGGGGGGAGGGGGCACGTTCGCGCGGCCGGCATCCACCGGGCCCCGCCCGCGCGCATGCCATCCTTGCCCGAGAGAGAGGGCCGAAGCCAGGGGCCCCACCGGGCAGCACCCAGGCACAGACCGAAAGCGACAGACGGAGCGACGGAGAGACAGAGAGACAGAGAGACGGAGAGATGGAGAGAGAGAGAGAGATCGAGGAGATGACACGGGGCAGGGTCAGCGTCCCGCGAATATCCACCACGGGGCGCCGAGATCCGCCCCGGGACCGAAGCCCGAGCCTGGTGCTCAGGTATCAGAACGGCCAGCGTGATCTCCCGGCTCTCCGGGCTGTCATCGGGGAGAATCACATGCCCCATTTCCGCGAAGATCCGCGACCAGGCATTCCCCCTCCCCCACGCATACCAGAGGGGGGGGGGGGGGGGGAAAAACACCGAAGGCGCGCGGGGACAAGGGCAAGGCGGCAGGCGCTGGCCGGCAGGCAACAGGACAGGGGGAGAGGGAAGTATATGGTATGGGTGTAACACAAGGACAACGGCCAGGGCGCCGGCAGGAAGACAAAAAAACACCACATAGAGGCCCCTGTGCAGAAGGGGAGCGAGAAGGCGGCAGCCCCTCACTGCGCGGAGAAGCGCCGCTTGCCGCTGCCACTGCCACCGGGCGGCGGGTGCGGATGCGAGTGCGAATGCAAGTGATGTGGAAGGTGATGGGGCGGAGGGTGCTGGTGGTGGTGGTGGTGGTGATGGTGGTGATGGTGCGAGTGGGGGGGTGGGGGAGGAGCATGGAAGGAGGGCAGGTGCACACGCCCCGAGGCGCCGGACCCGCCTGGCCCCCCGGCGCCCGACCCGCCGAAGGGATGCCCGTGCATGCTCGGCGAGTGTGGCGGGCCGCCGCCATGGCGGAAGCCCGTCGGTGGCGGTGGCGGTGGCAGCGCCGGCGTCACCGGCGACTGGAAAGCATGAAACGCATGCTGCGGCCCGGAAGGACCGTGCATGTGCCCTGGCGCCGGCGGGCCACCGGCCCCGCCATGGCGCATGCCCGGATGCAAGGGCCCAGGGCTGCCTGGAGGAGGGCGCCGGGGCGAGGGGCCTGCATCGCGCGCGCAATGCACCCACCCCGGAGGGAACCCGCCACCGAAGGAAGCCGCGCCCGAGGAGAGACACACATGGCCCCAGGCCGAACACCGCGCGTGTCAATGACCGAAGCAAACCACGGACTGCCGCCGCCTCCGGGAGGGGGGGGGGGAGAATGAAGCGGAAAAGACGCACCATCTAGCGGCGACTTGCTTGCCAGCGAGTAGCCGCCCTCACTGGCCGAGGACGAGGACGACGACGGGCGCCGGCCCCGGCCCCGGAAGGAGGCCATTCGCCCGCCACCGGCGACAGCGCCGCCAATGTGGCTGGAGAGGCCCGGCTCCGAGCCTGCACACGCCATCCCCCCTCCGGACGGACCGCCGGACGGGCCGCCGGACCCGTTGCCGTGCAGGGCCGACACGTCCTCCAAGCTGCTGGAGGCCGACACCGGCGAGGGGGAGGGCGACATCCGGGGCCGGCCCGGGCGGCCGCTGTCAGACCAGTTCCGAGCATGGTCGCGCTGCCGGCGAGCATCCCAACCGGGCGAGGCATCAGGCCCCTGCGGGCATGGTGGCAGGCCCGGGGGCCCGGGCCAGCCGCGATCCCGATCCCGATCCCGGTCCCGATCCCGGTCCCGGTCCCGATCTCGACCACGATCACGATGCCAGTCCCGGTCGCGGTCCCGGTCCCAGTCCCGGTCCCGGTCCCGGTCGCGGTCCCGGTCCCGGTCCCGGTCCCAACCAGAGGCGCCAGGCGGACGAGGATGCCGGTCTCGGCGACCGGGATCCCGCGAGAAGGACCGGTCACGAGAGCGCGAGCGCGAGCGCGAGCGCGAGGGCGATGACGCCGCCAGTCGCAACAGTGACGATGGCGGCGGCGGCGGCGGCGGTGGCGACGACGACGACGAACCTGGCGCCTCGCGGTCCCACGCAACGAAGGATCCGGCCTGGAGTGTGGCCGAGCGCCGATGGCCGCCTCCGTGGGCCGGCTCCGCCTGGCCGAGGGCCAACGCGTCTTCCTCGGCCACCCCGACAGGGGGTACGCGAGCTCGTGATGCCGGCGGCGCCAGGACCACACTTGCCAATAGGGTCTTCCCAGACACCGGGGGAATGTTGCCAGCCTCGGCCTCCGGCTCAGCCTCCGGCTCGGTCTCGGTGTCGGTGCCGGCCGGCAGCGTGCATGGCGGCGGCGAGTGGGGCGGCGAAGTGGGGAAGGCTGCCGCCGGGGCGAGGCACTCCTTGGCGCCGGCTGCCCCCGAGGGCGGCGGCGTCACCGGCGTCGGCCCCGACAGCAACGATGATACTGGCTGGCACCGGCTGGGCAATGTGAAGGGAGCCGCCGGCCCATGGTAGCCGGCATCACCATCAAGGCCTGCTTCATCGGCCCGATGGCCGGTGGCTTGCTGAAAAAGGCCCGGCGACAAGATGGCCGACGAGGGGCCGGCACTGCCGCCGCTCGGCCCCCCCGCCGCCAGGACTGTCGAGAGACCGGGCGACTGCTGGGGCGAATCGCCGTCCGACGTGGCGGGCGACAACTGCACCGCCACCGCCAAGCACCGGGCCCCGGTCTCCTTGGCGATGTGCGGCAGCACCTCGGCAAGGTCCTCATCCGAGTGGGGGTCCGACTCGTCATCGGCGCTGGCCCCGGCATCGGCATCGGCATCGGCATCGGCATCGGCATCGGGACAGGAATCCGACCGCTCGGCTAGGTGCCGACGCCGCCGAGCTGGCGGCTCACCACCACCCGACCGGTCCGAGCACATGCCCGCCGCGGCCACGGCCACGGGGACCGGCGAGGGGGACCGATGCCGGCGCCGGCCAGCCATCGGGCTGGCATCATGCCGCCGCGGCGCCCGGCCACCCCCTCCGCGAGTGACCACACGCCGGCTACCGCCGGCCCGCCGAGCTCCCGAGCCGGCCCCATTGTGATGCTCGCCATCGTCGTCGGTCTTCAGGCTGTGGTCGCTGTCGGTGCCACTGTGCTCCGAAGCATCCGAACCGGAGGGCGGAGGGGGGGGATGACGGCCGCGCGCCGGCGGCGATCGCCCCCCTTCCGACTCCGAGTCTGACCTCTCGGATCCGGAGGCCGACTCCGACTCCGAGGAGGACGATGACGACGAGGAGGAAGACGACGACGAGGAGGAGGCCGAGCGAGATCGCCCGGCCGGACCGGCTCCCCCGCTACGGGTCCGAGGCCGCCGCCGGCCACCGGAGGACCTACCACGCTCGTGGATGGTGGTCTGCCCTGGCTGCGACTGCCTCCGGCCGGCACCGCGGCGGTAGCCCTCTCCGTCGCTCTCCTCGTCCTGCTCGTGCTCCGGCTCCCGGGCCGGGGCCGGGGCCGGGGCCGGGGCCGAGCCCGAGCCCGAGCCCGAGCCCGAGGCCGGGGCCGGGTCCTCCTCGAGCTCACTGGCCGAGGAGGGCTCGAAGTCCGAGTCATACCGATGGCGGAAGAGGGTGATCTGCTGCTCCAGGTGCTCGAGGCGCTGCTCGAGCTTGGCGCTGGCATCCAGCGAAGCCAGTGCCAGCTGGTCACGGTGCCCGGCCAGGGCACTGCGTACCCCGCCAAGCCGGCTGGTCAGTGCCCGCCGGCTGGCCGGCGTGTCCACAAACCCCGGATCCGTCCGCGGAATGTCCGTCGGCGGCCGGGCCGTAATCAGCCGGTACTCCGATGCCGGGGCACGCAGCGGGACCAAAGACAAGGGCGACGGCCCGGCGCGCGTGGGCGCCGCCGACCCCGGGCCATGGCCGCCATTGCCACCGGCAGCATGGCCAGCCCCGCCGGCCGTCAGAGCCGCGGCCACCAGCAGGCAGGTGCTGTTCGGGTCCGGCCGCAGGCTGATGGCCCGTTGGCCGAGCTCCACAATCTCCGACCGCACGCGCATCGTGTGCTCGGAAATACGCACAATCAGCTGGACCATGTCCGACACGGAGGAGATCTTGGGCTTGCGCCGGCCGCCGCCGCCCCCGGCTCCGGTGTAGCCGAGGGACAGGATCTGCGAGGTGAGCTCCGGGCCACCGGGCCCAGACCGGCCGCCGCCGCCGCCGCCACCGCCACCGCGCGACAGCCCCCCCAGCAGCGATCCCACCGATCCCGACGGCGAGGCCAGGCTGGCGCCGGACGACGAGGCATGCAGTGAACTCGTGGAGGAGGACGAGGAGGAGCACGAGGACGAGGAGGACAGGGAGATGGACGTGCCAGAGCCCCCGGCGCCGGTGCTGCGATCCTTGCCGGCGGCCCCGCGCGATGGCGCCCCCGGCCTCGATGCCGAGGAGACCCCCGCATGGGCCGGACCCGGGGCCGGCCCTGGCCCGGGCCGGCGGGATCCCGCACGCCGACTGCCAGCGCTGGAGGACGCCTCGGCCACAGCGGCCGCAGCGGCCGCAGCAGCCGCAGCAGCCTCAGCCGCACGGCGCTGAGCCCGCGACGAGACCGCCGGCTTCTCCTCGGCCAGGGGGCCCGACGTGGGCGACGATGCCGAGGCATCCCCGGCCGATGCATCGCCCCCGGGCCCCGGTGGCTCCGGGGGAGGAAGACGCCCCGGCGAGGAGAGGGACATTCGCCGGGGGGACACCACTCGGCCGCTTGAAGTGACCACCAAAGGCGGCGACATGCTGCCGGTGCTCGGGGGAGGCTGCTCGTCCTTGATCGGGGAAATGGGCGACGGCAGGGCGTCCACCGGCTGGGCATCCTCGCTGTCGCTGGTGCCCTGGCCGTCCTCCTTGGGGGTGATGGTGCCGGGCTGCTGCGCGGCCCGGCTCGAGCTTGTCGACAAGCTGGCCGCCCCGGTCAAGGTGTCCTGCGAGATGGTCAGGCGCAGGGGCGGCCTGGGCCGCTGGCTGACCGCCGGGGAGTCCGGTGAGGCCACCTCGTCCGACTCCGCGGCGACCATGCCCGGTGAGTCGGCGCGCGATGCCGGGCCTGGTGACGGCGACCGCGAGGAGGTGGCCGAGCTGGACGGCCCGGCAGTGGCGCTCCGCCCCGGGCCCGGGGGCGTCCCGTCAAACAACCCGAACATCGGCAGGGAGGCGCTCATGCTGTTCATGGTCATGCGCCGGCGCTTGCCGGTCGACCGACTGTCCGGGTGGTACAGGAGGTCATCCTTCAGCAGGCTCTCCAGCTCGGCGAAGGCCCGCGGCGACGAGGCCGAGGGGGTCCGCTCGCGCGGCGACGAGGCCTTGGATGGGGCGTCCCTGCCCGTGCGAGGCTGCCCAGACGGCACCGGGGCCGAGTCACCCGGCGCATGGGCCGCCGCCGCCGCCGACAGAAGCAGGGCCTCGCGCTCTTGATGGCTGTGTGAAGGCCCGGATGCCGAATCCTCCATGGCAGGAAGGGGCAGCCGGGGAGAAGCCCCATCCTCGGGTATCCCTCTGGGTGGGGTTTTCGTGGGAGTGCCGGGGATGGACCTGGGGAGGTGCGCGGGGCGAAAAAAAAAAGCACAACAGCGGGAGCAAGGGGGAGGGGAGGAGGGGGATCGATACACATGATGGGTCAGCTCGGGAGCGAGGGGCGGGAGGCAAAACAGAGGGGGGGGGGGAGAGAGAGAGAGAGGCAAGAGGGCAGGAAGAAGGGAGACCACGCACGCGGGTTTGGACTTCGGCTCGATGGGCGTGTCGACTTCCATCGGGGAACTCGGGGCCGGGTGCCCGGCGGCCGGGGACGGCTCAATCTCGCCCTCCTCCGCCTCGTCGGGCTCCTGCTTGACGGGAGAAGCAGGTGGCGATGAGAGGGTGGCCTCGCCACGGGGGGATGTGGCAGCTGGCGACCGGGCCGTCGTTGGGGATTTGGCAGCAGTCGGCGACCGAGCCCCCGGGGACTTGGTGCCCGTTGGCGAGCCCATGGCTGCGGCCGGCAGCCGGCCGGCCCCATCGCCATCGGGGGATTTGGCTTCGGCCGTCGGTGGGTCCACCCCCTCGGGCAACGGCCTGCCCATGGACCGGAGGAGAGCCACGTGTGACTGTGGCGAGCAGATCTCACACAGGTAGACCGCCGGCACGGACTTCGGGTCGATCATCATGCATGAGGCATGCTGCCAGGCATAGCACTGCTCGCATTGGATCATGAGATTCCCATCATCACCCTCTGCGGATGGACATGAAAATGGGACAACCAAAAAGGAGGAGAGCGGTTAGGAAGAGAGTGAGGGGGGGGATGGAAGTCTGGCGCATGGGTGAAGGAGGGAGAAGAGCGGAGAGCGGAGAGCGGAGAGCGGAGAGCGGAGAGCGGAGAGCGGAGAGCGGAGAGCGGAGAGCGGAGAGCGGAGAGCGGAGAGCGGAGAGCGGAGAGCGGAGAGCGGAGAGCGGAGAGCGGGGAGCGGAGAGCGGAGAGCGGGGAGCGGAGAGAATGCGTACGGCCACAGGGACACCGGCTGACGCCCTCGTCGGCAGGCACGGGGGGATCAACATGCGCCGGGGCATCTTCCGCCAGTCGAGATGCCGGCGGCTGTGCCACATCAGCCGGCCGAGGGGAGTCGGCCTGCTGTTTCGGAGGGACGGCCACAACAGAAGCACCATCACCGGGAGCCGCTGGCCAGGGGGAGGGCGCGGACGATGGAAGGGGAGCATCAGGCGAGGCGGGACGATGCGCATCGGCCGGAGGCTCGGCCGCTGGCCAAGATGAAGGGGACACATCGGCCGCGGGCAAGGGCGATGCGCGCTGTGAAGAAACAGGTGGGATGGACCCGGCGAGGGAGGCGGCGTCCCGGGCCGGAGAGGGCGGCGGCGATGCCGAGGATGACCGCGACCGCGACCGTGACCGCGACCGGGATTGCGACCGGGATTGCGACCGAGATGGCGATCGCGACCGTGAACGTCGCCCATCGGGGGCAGGAGACCGGGGAGATGAGCGCCCGGCCGACCAGCGCAGAACATCGAATGGCCGCAACGGCGAGGGGGACCGCCGTGGCGGTGAGGGGGAGCGTCGCACCGGCGAAGGGGACCGGGGCATGGGCGATGCGGGGCGTTGCAATGGCGAGGGGGACCCCTGTGCCGGTGCCTCCGGAGTGGGCGAATGTCCCGGAGAGCGCGACTCCGGGGAGGCCGGGCGCTCCGCCGTGGTTGGCGACACGGCGGTCGCCTCCTCGGAATGGCTGCCAGGCGAGTCGGAGATCTCCCCCTCCTCGAGGTCCGAGTCCGGGGAGGTCAAGTAATTGGCCGGCATGTTGACGGTCATCGCAAGGGCGGCCAGCGGGTCGACCGACGCCGACCGGCTGCCGGGGTCCGGACTCCCCAAGCGCGAGGACCCGGCGCCCGAGGGCGGCAGGGCGTTGGCCGGCACCGGTGCCGGTGCCGGTGCCGATGCAGCTGACAGGGAGGGCGACGGCGGGGCACTGGCCTCGCGCGCGGCCGCCGACACCGTCAGACCCGGCGGGGGAGATGCGGACCGTGGGGAGGGGGACCCCTGGCCGGCGGCGGCGGCCGCGGCGGCGGCGGCGGCTGCGGCGGCGGCGGCGGCGGCGGCGGCTGCTGCGGCCGCCGCGGCCGCTGCTGCCATGCCGGGTGGATGTGGGGGAGGTGGGGGGGATGGCATGCCCGGCATGCCGAAGGCCGGGAAGGGCGGCGGGCCGCCAGGCAGGCCAACCGGCAGCGGGGGGCCCAGTGCATGGGCAAATGGCGGCAGTGGATGCGGACCAGGCCGTCCACGAGCCGGCCCCATGGACAGCGGCGGCCCGAAGGGGATTACCGGGGTCGAAACCCCACCGCGGAAGGACCCATGCCCGGGGGGCGGCGGCGGCGGCGGCGGCAGGGGCATCGGTGGCCCGGCTGGCCCACCGGGGGGGAAGCGCCCGGTGGATGGTCCTGGCGGCCCGCCAGGAGGGCCCCCGGGCGGTCCACCAGGAGGCCCGGCTGGCCCGGCTCCTGGACGAAGAAGGTGCATGGCATGCGGCGGCAGCATTTGCGAATGCGGAGGACCGAAGTGCGATGGGGGAGGTGGCGGCGGTGGCGGCGGCGGCGGCGGCGGCGGCGGCGGCGGAGCCGCCGGAGGTAGGGCACCTGTCGAGGGGGCGGGAGAAACGGCCCCCGGCGGGGGGGGAGGGGGTGACCTGGGTCCGCCGTGGAGCAGCAACGGTGGCGGTGGCGGTGGCGGCGGCGGGGGCTGCCCCGGGGCCGAGCCGTGGTGCAGACCGCCGCTGTGGGGGTGGCCGTGTGGGGCCCCGGAAGGCGGGTGGCCAAAGGACCCGCCGGAGAAGGACCCACCGGCCGGGCCCAGAGACCCGGACCGGGACCGAGCGTGTGGGTGGAGGATTAGCCCCGGCTGCGGGGCGCCTGGGCTACCGCTGGGGGCCCGGGAGGGCGAGTGCTCGACGGAGGACGGCGCGGACCCCGGCCCGTCGGAGTAGCTGGGGGGGTGGAACCCGCCGGTGGTCTGGGTCCCGGGGCCGGAAGAGAAACGCGATGTGCGAGAAGCTGCAGACGCATGGGGAGGAGGAGGGAGGGAGGGGGGGAGAGAGAAAGACGAAGCGTTAGTGGGAGAATTCCTATGCGTGTGTGTGTGTGTGATAGAGAGAGAGAGAGAGAGAGAAGCCAATTGGGCGTCGCACAGGAGGGCGGGCTGGAAAAGCGCCCGGTCGAGCCGAAGGTCGAGGGGGGCGGGCTCGGTGGCGTGGAGCTGGCGGAGCCTGAGGGCCCCGGCAGGGAGGCTCGCCGGGGAGAGACGCTAGGCAGCGGCCCCGCCACAGGGCGGTCGTCCGCGGACAGGGGGTACGCCACAGTCGACGATGGCAAGCCCGAGACGTCCGAGGGTCGGCGGGGTGCGGCGTCGGGATGGCCGAGTGGCGGTGAGCCCGGGGCTGCTGGGTTCGGGTTCGGGTTCGGGTTCAGCGAGTGGCTCCGGCCGTCCACTGGTCGGGGTAAGGACGGCGGCATAGGTCACACAGGGCGGGTGGAGGGGGGCGGGAGGAAGATCAGGCAGCGGCGGGGGGCG